GGATAATTTTTTATTAATAGTGCAGTAAAAAGTTCAAATCAGTTTAATTTACACTTTAATTAATTAATTAAACCCTGAAAAATCCAACAATCAAGCACTTATTTGTATTAATTTCCTTAAATTTGAAGGATTTTAATTTTAACTTTCATTGGAACATACATTTTGGAAATTTAACGAAAAAAATGCTCCTTTTTTGTACACTGCAATTTCAATATTAGGCAACGTGCACGTCCTGTCAACCGCAGTGGCCCCTGCAGATTTTGGCAGCGGTCAACCCACATTGTTGGTGTTGCAAGGTGTGGTTGTGTATTTTGACCATTCCGCAGGCGCTCCTCGAACGTGCTACAAAATTAGGGTCATCGCCTGGAAATGTATGCAACCCGCACGTCCAGATGTTAACAAGTATGTAAAGGAATTGTATCATGTAATGTTGTCCTCGTTTATTCCGTTGTTCAATTGTCACAATTTCAGTGCGAGACGTGCAAAAGCTTTTTATAACAAAGCGTTGGGCAAAAGAAAATAGTTTAAAAAAAAAAAATTAAAAAAGGCCAGTTTTTTGCTCATAATGCTCATAATTTTTGTTTAATTGGTGTAAAAATTAAAAACAAAGACTAAAATAAATTAAAAACTGATAAATAGAATAAACACATAAAAAATATAATAAAAATATTAAGGCTAAATCAAATATTTTTTTCATATTTTTGCTCACAATTGATTTCAACTCATTAAATTTTACAAACCAATTTTTAAATCTCATTTTTTTATATGCAAGTCACAATTAAATTTATTACACGAATGTTTTTACATTATGAATACTGATGAATATAATTTTCGTTAAAAATAATTAATTTTTTTCTTGCTATCGTTTCGTTTCTTGAATTCAAAATTAAATATTTTTCTACTTGTTCCTCAGATAAAATTTGCAGAGTAAAATACAAAATACTTTTAAAACGAAAAGAATGAGCAAGTAGGGGCAAAAAAGCAATTTCCATTTCTTGTCTCGCGCGCAATTTCCATTTCTCTTGCAAATAACCTGGTGCCAAAAACGCTTTTTGCAAGGTGCCATTCGGCGCCAATGCAAATGACAAGAGCGCGGCCATTATTATGATCATCTCGTGACGACTCTCAGCGGCCAAAATCGAGCAGCTTCAAAAATGAAATTAAGCCGAAGAGAAGAAAAAACTGCTGCTCTTGGTGCCGCCGCCGCTATAATGATACTTTTACGGCCGTGCTTTTTTTCTCTGAAAATGCGCGAACATGATTACGCCCTTTGCGGGTTCCTAGTCTCTCTCTAGCTTCATCACAATTTGGCAAAAATGAAAAACGCGGCGGCGGCGGCTTTTGTTTATCTCTTGCAATTTCACCAAAAGTGACATTATTGCGAAACGTGAACGGATGCGAGGTAATGTAAAAAAATACACAAGTGGATTAAAAGGCGCTCGTTTTGGTTTCCAACTTGTCTGCAAAGTCGAACGTCGTCGCTGCGGCGGCGGTTCCGTTTCAGCGCAAACTGCCGCTTTTTGCCTTTCGTCTTGTTCGAAACAAGCTCCGGCTTTTTTCTTCTCATGCTTGATATTTCGCAGAGAGAGCGAGTGAGTTGCCACGTCAAATCTCATATCTGGGCCAGAACGAGTTATTTTAGCACAATTTAAATCACAATTCCAATAATTAGTGTTTTTATAATTAATTTATTTATAATTTGCTTAAAAGCGAATTTTTGACATCTTTACAATTTTTTTTTTTTTTTTATATTAACATTATGAAAAGATAAAAGTCATGAAATTTGGTCTCTTGAATAAATTTGATGTTGCCAAAATGCAATTTTTGTATGCTTATTGTCTTATTTTTTTTAAAGATATTTAATTTTGGCTGTCAATTTTCTATTTTGGTAGTTCTAGAGCCCTAAAAAACCAAAAGGAGTTTCAAATGGAATTAAAAATTAACCGGTTTCCAAAAATAATGAAAATTATATTAATGAATTGTGTATGATTGTTTTAACAATTTTTCATTATTTTGAATCTTCAAAATGAGATTGCCGAATAAGTTTTTGCTTTCAATTGAAAAAACTGTATTTTTTCTCTAACTTCACAAGACGAACAAAAATTCTGAAGACTTACTTTAAGGTTGGCATTTTCAATTCAAGTCTATACAACAATACGAGCCATTTTTGGTAATTATTGAAAAACATTTGGAAATTCTAACCACAATCGATATAAAGATTTTACTTAACTGACGTGAGAGCAAATATCAATAAATTTATGTTTTTTAATAATTTTTTAAGCAAAATATTATAATTTACAACACTGTATGTAATAAAAGGTAGTTTTAAACGACAAAAATAAATCTGAATAACCCATTCAGACTAAATGTAAGACTTATTACTTCCGCGTTACCTTTGCAAAAATCCTAACTTCTGAACACACACAAACCAAACGTACTTTAGATAATTTACAGCACAGCTTCCAGCGGCGTGTCTCGTCCGCATGCGAGCGGAAAAAGACGAGCAAAGTTTTTAAACGTCAGAGACCTGCGCCAAAAGTAAGTTTCGTCGCGAAGTGGTGCATTTCCCGCGGCATTCATTTCCAAGTGACTGCAGAACAGCTCCGGAACACGAGCCGCTGGAAACACAGCCTTCCTGCCGAGGACGCACCAGGGTGTGCTCGCTTGGCATCTTCACCCCTTGCGGTCCGTCTCTCTCTCTCTCCAGGCCAAACTATTCCTTGCCTTGCACACAACAAAAAGCACGAGACGGAAATATCCGAGTTGAGAAGAATAAATATTACAGCAGAGAACTGTCCAGGCAACAAAGTTTCTTCGGTTTATTTGGGACGAATGAAGGAATTTAAAAAAGTTTTGCTCTATTTAGATTGGAAAATGTTATATTTAATTAAAATATTTTGGATTTTGATATTTAAACAAAATTAAAATTATGAAAACGTAAATTCACTTTGGTACATATCGCTTAATTCTTTAAATTTTACAGTGAAAGTGTTTTTTCTACATAATTAATTATATATTGTTTCTAAATGTTTTGTAATTTGCCAAATTAAATTCAGCCGCTGGTCAAAGCTAGGTTCGGCTTTTGTGGTTTACAATTGAAATCACTCAAAATGATCACAACATAAATAAAATAAGTGTGATGAACTGAAATGTTTAAAAATAAATTTTCATGAGGAGCATAATTTTTTAGCAAAAATTAAGCTCAGTAAAATTATGGCATAATTAAAATCAAGTTTTCATAACAATAGGTACCCCATTTTAGGCAATTGTTGGCATTTTCAACCAAAATTGTTGTAAAAATTTAAAATTAATAATGTTAATAATTGGGAAATCCTTAAATATTTTAACATTTCATTAGCTGAAAATCATCCCCATCAAACTTTATAGTAAACTTCATTTGTTATGTGGCCTCATATAATCTAGATCAAAATTAATTTCCCGGCAGAATCAACGGTTTAATTTAAACCATAACGATCTCCTCTCTGTTAATGTAGGCGGACGCAATAAAACCTAATGGGGTGGTCAATGCACTAAACCTCTCAACTTTTTATTATAAACACAGAAAACCCTGCTCTGGCAAAAATTCCCTCCCCGGCTGCAGCAAAAAATGGAATTATCTCTGCAAAGTTCGATGCTATTATTATTATTATTTGAACTTTCGGAGCCAAAAGTCGGGGACAATAATCAGGGTGCTGCGGGTGTCGGTTGGGCTAATTTCGTTTGGCGCTCGAATTGAATTGGGAGCAAACTCGAGGTGAGGGAAATGCTGGCGAGTGCCTTTGGCTCTTACGGCCGATTCGGTGATAACAATCTAGTGGTCCCCGGGGACGCCACAAATCGAGGCACCAAGAGAGAGAGACAAACTTTTAAAAGCCGCGCACTCTGGACGGATGAAATAATTTGCACCTCGCAGATAAAAAGCAATGATAGCGGCAACGCTAGGAAGCTGGGGCAGCCCTTTTGAACGAGGGATTTTCTATGTTGATGGTGAATTTTTCAAATTAAATTAATTCAATTGAATATATTGTATAGTTTATTAATCATATCAATAGACTATGAAATTTATAATTTAAAAAAATATTTAGTAGTTTCTTACAATTTACAAGTTATTTTCTAGAAAAAGCAATAAAAAACACTTTTTAATAATGCTTGATTAATCAAGAATACAAATAGAAAAATAGGTTTGAAATTTACTTACTGTTAGAATTTCAATAAACGCATTTTTAATAATAAATTTGTGGCCGATGTAAATTTTTTTGTTTAAAAAATAATGCAAGATTATCAATTCAGGCCACACTCGGACAACTGATTTTAGAAAAAAATTGAAAACAGACCACAAAATTTGCTTGTGCCGATTTAAAAAAGTATTAAAATTAAATATTTACCTTGTGTTTGAAAGTAAATTAACAATTTCATCAAATAAATTATTTTGAAAAAGGAATATGCGATAATTTTAATTGGAAACCCACAAAAATTATTTATATTTTCATAGAATTTCATAAAAACTTGGAATTAAAACTTAATTTTTTTTTTTTCAGACAGAAGAGAATGGCTTAATTTTACAATTCTCTCAATGTCACTGATTTTAAATATAATGTTCGTATAAAAAATAGTAACATTATTTCAATCACTTTTTGCTCTTTGAGGGATCAAGTCGCCTACTGAAGAAAAGCCAAAAGATTTCAAAATAACGGTACCGAAAATAGAAATGGAAGAAAAGTTGCTTTGAAGGCAAGTGGACAGATGTCAATTGCAACGGCCATTATATTCATCACCAACGGAACGCCACACACCGCACAAAAAGATCCTTTTAACAAACAATTTTAAGGCTTCACATCTCGGGTGATATTTTCCTTTCCGGGAATTTTCCGATTCCCTTAACAAGAGAAGCCAGTCTTCAGTGACCTCAATCGAAAAATTCTCAAAGACCCGACATGTTTCGTTTTGGTCGGAGTTAATTAAGTAGACTTAATTATGATCCTAATGAAAAGGGTACTTACTTTTTCACCGGCGATTCCGAGCTGCTCTGCCGAATCCGTCTTCTCACGTTGCATTTCAGCCGATTTTCACCTATTTCAGGCCGAAATTAGGCTTACATTTGACCCCCGGCGAGTCAACAAACAAAGACTAATCATTGTGGGCGTGTCCGGTTGTCATGTGGGAGAAAAGCGGGAACGAGATTAGCAAAACCCGACTTTTGTCCCGGATCTCAGTGCTCTCTGCTCTGTGACATAATTTAAAAACGGCCCAACATATTCTACTGAAATTAGAGTTTCAAAGAAAAAATTAAATTTGAAATTGATTGGCTATCTCAGAAAAAAATAAAAGTTTTCAAGGAGAAAAAGTAAGATTTTGAATTTGATCATTCCGCAGGAAAAAAAAAATTACGACTTTAAGCCAATGATAGAAATGGTTGAAAATCAATTTAATTGGCTACATTTTTTTGTAACGGTTGATATTTTTAAATAATGTACTCTTTAAAAAAACTTAAATTACAAATTTCTTGCGGATACTTTAAATAACTCCCCAGGTAAATATTTTCCTGAAATGTAAAAAATAGAAATGAATAAAATAAAACTTAATTACCTCTTAGTGCTGAAAATTTTAAATTTTTAATTTAACGCTAATAGATAATAAAAATACAAAATTGACGAAAATGTCTTATGAATTAATCAAGCAGCAGTCGAGAGCGCGACATCAGCGGCGCGGATCAAAAAATAAATAACACCACGATTTTCCTCATGCCTTGAATGCTCTAGAAAAGTAAACTTTTTCAAATCACCAAAATCCTAAAATTCTCAATCAGAGCGATATTTTGATTAGAGTTGCTAATCTCGTTTTCCCGCTTTTCTCCCACATGACAACCGGACACGCCCACAAATATGATTAGTCATTGGATTTCTTTGTTTCTTGACAGTCGTGTCTCGCCGGGGGTCAAGATTAAGCCTAATTTCGGCCTGAAATAGGTGAAAATCGGCCGAAATGCAACGTGAGAAGACGGATTCGGCAGAGCAGCTCGCAAGCCGCAGTCAGAATCGCCGGTGAAAAAGTAATTTCCCTTCTCGTTTTCACTTTTTGCAAATCGACCCACGAGGCTCATCATTATGTAATTACATAAATTCATGTATCATAATTCTGATATTTTGAATCAACTCAGAGCACAAGAACATTTTTTGTCCTAAATTTTCAAACGTTTATTCACTCTTAGTGTAAATTTTATGCTACCATGCAGTGATGAGAGTCAAAATAGAAAATTTAGAAAGTATTTTGCAAAATTCAGAGGAACGATTGGAAAATCAATTGAAGTTCAGCATAGTTTTTAATTTTGTGCAGTTTGAGATTCAACTGATATATTTTATTGAGAAATATTCAAAATTTGAAACAATAAAATAAAATAAAAAAATTTTGAATTGTTACTGATTATTTAAAAAAGGCACAAGAAAGCAGATCAAAATGTTTCAAATAATAAAACCATTCAGTATTGAAAGGAAATAATAAATTAAAATTTAGATTGCAATGATTGACATTAAGACTTGAGCCCTTCCCTTAATTCAGGGGGTGAATATTTAAATTAAAAACTTAATCTAATATCTATCGTTTTCAGGAAACAAAAATGGTGATGTCGCCGACGAAGATCAAGACTTTGAGGCACCCCTGGGCACCTACTTGCGATTCTGTGCGTCGTTTTTGGGGCAACTTGTTCGGCGCGGACTTCATACAAAAGCAGTTGTAAAACACCCCGAAAAACTTATCAGTGTGGATTTGCATAATAAAATCGGTCGGCGGCCGGTTTTGCAAAGTGAGCGGCGGCGGCGGCGATAAGGTGCGCCGACCGAGGGGAGGGGGTGCGCGGCGGCCGGGGTGCGACGGCGGCCGAGACTCGCAGTCTCAGTTGTGGCGTCTCAGCCGGCCGGCGCACTCCAACCGCCCCCAGAGCCGCCCCCGCGGAGGCAGAACTGCAGCCCCTCAGATCTCCGCCACAGCACGTGCTCGCCACAGAGGGGATGGAGTGAGACCAGAACCAAGCCAGGAACATGAGCCATTGTTGCGCACCCCTACTGCTGCCATTGTTGGCCGTGATTGTTGTTGTTTCTGCTCTGCCGCCGGTCATCAGAATAGGTAGGAACACATTTTATTTTCTCCAAAACTTAAAATTTCATTTTAAATTTAAAAGAAAGGGACATTTTTTTTTAAATTCTTTGCTCAAAAGTCAACTCTAATCCATATTATTGGTTAACTATTTATTTTGTTTTTTGCGAGGACAAGTTTTAATTTTAATTAAATATGATCAAGTTTAAAATTATGATTGGTCTGGAGATTCTGGATTAAAAATTTAAATTGCGTGTTAATAATTTAGCAATAATTTAATTAAAATGTTGAAGACTTTATTGGCAAAATAATAAAATTTTAACAACAAAATAAGTCATTTTTGACACTTTTTTTGAAAACAATTTGAAATTGTAACCTTTATTGTTATTAAGACTTTATTTACTATGTCTCTAACCGGGATGTGAATGACCAAATTGGGTTTAAAAAATGTATTAAAGAGCTTTAGTAATTTATTAAGATATCAATACAAAATTATCGATTAAAAAATGGCCGCCATCATTATCAATTGCGTTTTTATTTAATTAGGTTAAGAATTTGACATTAAAATAAGAGATGAACAAACTAATATACCACCAAATTTCATAACGAATTTTTGGCATGATTTTTAATAATTACTCAGCTATGGTTATTTCAACTGATTATTTTTCCTAATTAAAAAAAACATACAAAATTTATTTTACTTTATTAATCAATTTTAATCAAATTTAGGTTATAATTTTAACAAATTTGACTTTTTTGGTGCAAAACTGTTTCAAGGGAACGAAAATTTGGCAAACGCGAATGTTCTCTTTCTGGCTGCGATAAAAGCGAGTAACGTCGTCGAGGGAACGTTGCCGAAACGCTGCATTCATAATTTATACGAGCCAAGTGAAGCGCACTCTCTTTCCATTCAAACGCCGCGTCTTCTTGTAAACACTTTTCAACACAAACTCTTGAAAATTTAAATCCACGTCTCTACGTTTAAGTAACACAAAGGGCTGCTCCTGCTAATGAGGTTACACATGTTTTGAAGTCTTAAAAAATTTAGGTAAAAAGAAGTGAAACTAATCGATGAAAAAAAAGATGTCAGCATGTGCAGACCAAAAAAAAAAGGGAATTGATTGCAACTGCAACCGAGACGACGTAAAAGGACCCCTGGACCGCCTTTTCTCTCTTTTCACTCATGTCCCAGTTTGTCCATTAATGTGAGTGGGAGCAAAAAATAAAAGGGGACTCGCTACCCTAATTACCCAGCACTTGCAAACAATGCACTCGCCGCCGCCGCGAAATAAAAGTTGATGACTCTCAAGCTTGCTTGATTGAGCTTACTAGCGCCCATAACATTCACAAATGCAGCTCCAAAGAAGAGTGCATAAAAAAGAAAAATAGGGGAGAGCACAAGTTTTATAGAGCTGCAGAAGGGATGAAAATAACATAAATATTATTTTTTTTATAAATGGTATAAAAAATTGAAATTATTCATAATTTAATGTTTATTATGATATGGGAATATTTAAATATAGATATTTTAATAATTATTTCTACTTTGAGATTGATAAAGGATAAAATTAGTTATGTTGGAATATTTTTAGTAATTGATTGGCTCATTGTAAGGGTCAAACACTTCAACTCCCTTTAACTGTAAAAAAGAAGAAACCTTTTAAAGTGAAGTCATAAGCAACGGTCAATAAAAGCTTTTTATATTGGATATCATATTTTTATTTTATCAAACTTAGACTTCAGGCCACCATATATGTTATTATTGCAAATTCCAAGTAATGAAATTCCTGTTATAAATATAACAAGAATTTTACTTTATGATTTTGAAATTTATAATTATGGAAAATTAGCAGTTAATAAACTGCATATTTTTTTTCAATAACAATAACATGACATTTAATTAAGCCACTCGTAAAACACCAATAAAAGCTTTTTTTTCACGTTCGTAGAAATTTAAATCAGGTTTACTATAAAATGGATCAATTAAATTTTCTCATTTTCAATATATTTTATTTCATTTATTATAACTTTAAATATTATGAATTATGAATTATTATTTAATTTATTCAGAATTATTGTAACAGATATCCAGAATAATTGTTTCGCTTGGATTATGAACTCGACCGGGCCAGTTCATATGAGCTAAAATATTCTGGAAACACAATTGTAGCAGAGTTTATTTGCAATTCTAATTGGCGAGAAATTCAATTTAATGTTCATTGCAAGAGGAGAACGAGCGCGCCACTGAGAGCAAGGAACACATTAACGAATTGTACAATTTCAATTATACTCGTAGCATTATTAAAGCCGCTTTTGATTAAATTATAAAAAAATATTCCGGACGCATTTGCAGAAAAATCTTCATAACTATGAAAAACGAGGAAATCTGCTTCCATCATCAATCATCGGAACATTAAACACGACTGGCCTGACGCTTATTTTTTCGATTAATTTCTCACGCCACGATTGCTGCTTTTTCTAATTTATGACTGCAATAATTAATAGGGAGGGCGTCGTGAGATACCAACTCGATATGGAAAGTGAAGAAAGACGTCAAGGGTGATTAATGGGGGCGGGCGGGCCCTCTGGCTGATGTCCTCGCTCACTAGGAAATGTGTGTGCAAAGACATTTCGGCGATGGGATCAGCCAGTGGCCTGCTCGCGGTCACAGCTCTTAGCCAAATTGACGCAGCTCGCGTTATTTCGACACACAAATAATTGGACCAATCTCATTTGTGCAACCGAGTGCCGTCGGCATCTTCCCTCCTTGTGTTTGTGCATTCCCACCGGGACCATCTCTGTGCCTAGCCGCACCACGGTTTTGATAATTTAATAATTCTCTGTGCTTCAAATGAAAAACTTGTAAAAAAAATCATAAAAAAAGGCTGGAGGAATTCGTGTTTAAATTATTATTTATGTTAAAGTATTCTTGTAAATTTAAATAAATATTTCAGACAAAATATATAAAGTGAGAAAACTAAAAATGTAAAATAAAAAAACTAATATTTAATGTAAAAAACTGAAATATTGTAAAAAAAATAGAATAATTGATTCATATTATTATTGAGAAGCATTTGAATTTGAAATCAAAATGCCAGTAACTAAAACGAATGTGTATGATATTGATTGCGCAAAAATTATCCTCTGCCTAATCCAGATATTCAAATGTCAGTGTAGGCAACATGCGCATTATCTCTGTCGACCGGGCTGCATAAAACCACATTGCCAGTATATGGATTTTAACGTCCAGATTTTATCTGACATTTGATTTCTGGCAAACCTTCCCGTCTGTTATGGTGTTGCTAAAACTTTTTTTGTAATAATGGAACGGAAAAGTTGTAATTTGATGTTTTTTGGCCAATTGAATTGTATACACAAAATTTGTGCATTAAATTCTAGCTCATTAATGTAACCCACAATTATCGTGTCAATAGAAAAACGTTTTATGGATGGGAATTGAAATTCAGCTTTTCCTCAATCCTTTATTATTTCATAGAAAAAATCATATATTTGTCTACAAAACAAAATAAATTTCAAGGAAAATCCTAATTTCTACTTAAACACCCTCAATCAGGTAATTTTTCTATAAAATATCGATGGCAATTAAATATATGTTTTGAATTCAAGCGTATATTTCATTCAAAACTGAATTTGTGCAGATTCAGAAATGTAAATGCCAATAATTTGGAAATATGTTCCTTTAATAAAATAATATCAAAGTTTATGTTTCTTCAAAACATTAAAAGACTCCAAAATCCATGGAGGATAAAAGCAAAATTTCAATTCAAACACTTACGATCGCGAAATTCTTCTACAAAATAAATTGTATAGCATTGAATGTAATTTAATATGTTTGATAAAACGAAAAGTACATGTATCTATTTCATTTCAAAACAAATTGGTACAGATTTAGGAATATAAATGTTACATATACTAATTGGGCACTTTAGGCCTTTCACAAAATATCATCAAAGGCGTTTCCGTCCGTTTCATTTGAAGTGTATGAATTTGATGCGAAATGAAAGCTACCAACACCAATTACCTCTAAAACGCTTGACCCAGCAAACATTTCATGACTTTCCGCAATTCGAGCTGTCAAATGTGAACCCTTTGAATTTTTCCCTCTCCCTCCCTCTCATATTGTGAAACAACCCTTGAGGATATAACAAGACCCGTATCGAGAGGGTCCCGCGCTTGCTTGTTACTCTCTCCATCTCTAGTCAGGCGTCACCTGGTTTGACCACAGGGCCGACAGCACTCTGCGGCCACTTGATGTGAACAGCCCCGTAGGGTGCTGTTTGGCCTCTCGTGTGTGTGTGTGTGCAAACGCATCGCTCTCTAATGCACTGACAGATTGCCTAGTTAATTGATTACTCGCGCCCGGCTGCCCGGCTCGAATTCATTTAATGAGAGCCGCCGACCAGCAGTTGCTACTTTGAATAATTCATCGTGATTTGACGCGCTCTGGGACGCTTTGTCCGCCACTCTCGTCGCTCATATTCGCTAATTGCTTCGTTTTCGATAATAAATCACGGCCGCTTTTAATTACGAACGCGTCGCCGACACCACTGGGAAATACTTTCACATGCAAATAACGCTAAATTAAAATACCATCATGCACAATTAAAACTTATAAAGTTTTACTTCTAATCAGAATTATTATTTTCAAGTTAAAAACAGTTCAAAGTTTAAATCTAAGTTAAAAATGCCAAACTCAGATTAGAATTAATCCACAATCCTCTAATCTATGCACATGAAAGATTTGATTTTTCAGTAATTTAGGAAAAAAGCTTAAAGAATTGCAGCCTAAATAAATAAATAATTTATTAGAATTTTGTCATACATTTGACGAATTAAATTTGTAATCAATTTAGCGTTGTCAAAGCTCAAAGGTCATGTCAAAATCATAATTGATTACTTTGAAAATTTATGATGGATCAAAGCTAAAAATTCCACCCAGGCATGGAACATTCTCAAATGGAGGGAGAATGCTTGGGGTGGACTACACAAATGTCAAATATTTGTGCGTT